TTGCAAGGCTACTTACAGCCCTGCCTCCTCCTCGTTGAATCCTGAACTCCACCAACTCATGGTCACTGCAGCCGAGGCTACCCCCCACCTTAACATCTCCTACTAGGCCCTCCCTATTTGATAGCACGAGGTCCAGTAGCCCACCTCTCCTCGTCGGCTCCTCCACAACCTGCGTCAAAAAGTTATCGTCGACGCTCTGCAGGAACCTCCAGGACTGCTTATGCCTGGCTGTGTTGTCCTCCCAGTTGATGTCGGGGTAGTTGAAGTCCCCCATGAGAACCAGGGCCTGTGACCGTGAGGCAACATCCAGCTGCCTATAGAAGGCCTCATCAACCTCCTCGTCTTGGTCAGGTGGCCTGTAGCAGACACCCACCACAGTGTCTCCCACATTAGCCTGTCCTCTAATCCTTACCCACAAGCTCTCAACTCGCTCATCCTCGACTCCCAGGTTGAGCTCCATGCATTCCAGTTGCTCTCTCACATAAAGAGCAACTCCACCACCTCGCCTTCCCAGCCTGTCGTTCCTAAAGAGCACATAGCCTTCCATGGCAGCGCTCCAGTCGTGCGAGCTATCCCACCACGTCTCTGTGATTCCGATGAGATCATGACGCTGGGACCGCACACAGATCTCCAGTTCATCCTGCTTATTCCCCATGCTTCGCGCATTGGTATACAGGCATTTCAGGGAAGCAACAGAGGCCACAGGTTTCCCAGGAGGGGTGAAAGAGGACCCTCCGTGATCATTTCCTATCCTCACTTCCCCACTAGCATACTCCCGCTGGACGCCATCTGACCTGGGCTGTGCGGTACTGCTTGCCGTATCAGTGTGCCACTCCCCTCCCCCCTTCTTGCCTAGTTTAAAGCCCTCCTAACCAGGTTGGCCAGCCTTTTGGCAAAGAGACCTGTAACCTACCTGTAGAAAGAGAGGGTAAATCAAGCTGTTTTTCAACATTCAGAGGAGAGATGCTGGTGTGGCATGTTCCACAAAGCAGCCTGACCATGAAATCTCCTCTGACATGCGCACAGGGTCTTCTGCTGGGACAAGTTGTGATCACAGCAGCGGACACCTGGGAAAGGCCAAAGCTAGCAGTCTATTACCGGCCACCAGCAAACTACCTGCCTACCCTCTCCTCTGCCAGTCCCCGACCAGCAGAGCCTCCTGCCCTGGAGGCTGCATCTTGGGCCTGCACTGGCTATTCCACAGGCTTTTCCCACCCTGCTGGATGGAGGGGCTGGATTTGTTCTTCCACAGCTGGCTGTGTGCACACGCTGTCACTATCCTTCACAGCATATGCGGGAGCAAATCCCGTAGGGTGCTGTGCAGTTCCCGTGGAGGAGGAGAGCTCACCTCCTGCAGCAGAGGAAGCCCTGGCTCCATGCTAAAGCATCGCTCTCATGGTCCCCATGGCAGAGCTGGGGAGCTCGGCTGGCGCCAGCCCCCCAGCGCTCCCCACTTCAGCCTGGCCCACGGTTGTGCCCATGGCTGCGGGCAGCGGAGGCAGCAGAGGGTTAAGCTGTCAGCTCTGTAATGTTAAACAGGTGTCAAAGGCACCTCCATATATCTGCAGATTGAAATCAAATTCTTTGCAGTATAAAAAGATAAATTACCCAGGCGATTCCCGCCTCATCCCACTCATCAGGCCAGCGCCAGACGGCAAGCAATTTTTTTTTTTAATGTGCTAACGACCTAATCAAGCAATCAAGTTGGAGAAGATTGCAGAGTGACCCCGAGCATCCATCTGCCAGCGAGACCCCGCCATTCATTTCCATTCTGCTGTGTACTTTCCGGGAAAGGGAGGGGAAAAAATAGAAAAAAAGAAAAAAAAAAGAAAAGAACCTAAACAAATTAACACCCAATTTTCTGTGAGTCTAATTAGTTAAATGAGGAGGTGTTCAGGGTGTCCGCGGGGAGGGAGGGGTTGCCTCTCGGAAAGGGGACTGGTAACTCCATGGCATTAATTAGCGCAGGTCAATGGCGTGGTTCCCTGGGGACCAGCTGCTTTAATTTCCCGTGATATTTCAGTGCCTGAGGCCCATCGATTCAAACTGAAATTAACTTATTTTTCAATCAGGCCTGGGCTGCCCCTGGGGCTGACTCTTCCTTTGCCTCCTTCTGAATAGACCTCGAGCAATTTTTCATCTAAAGCTGATGCCTCTGCTCTGCGGGAAGGGAGGGAATAAGGGGAGGGAGGAGGGTGAGTGAGACAAGAGGAATGGAAATCAGGGAGCGAACACTAATAGATTTCTGCACGCACCCCCCCACCGCCGCCTGCGTCCCTGCTCGCTGCCCCCCCAGGTCACAGCTCAGAGATTATTCTGCCAATTTTCTGAGAAGATGAGGGGCTTTTCAAACTGGGAATTCAGGGCAAACCGCACAGATCAGCTCCCCCTTCTCCTGCCTTTCCCCGCTCCAGAGCATCCACCCTCAGCCCAGCCCTCCCTGCAGGCACCACTGCGCAGAGCCCCACACAGCAGCTCAGATACCCAGTAAATAATAAAAGAAAATCCCAGGCACGAGAGCCAAAAGCCACTAGAAAGAGACACTGCAATGGGAAATTAATTATATCCTGCAGAGAGGGATGGGACATGCTCTTACGCTTTTTGCTCCTGCTAGGGAGAGATGCACAGCAGCTGCTGTGTGGGGGGATGAGGCCACCGCTGCTCTAGGGAGGAAGGTGCACATGCTCACCTTTATCCCCCTGCACAAGCACATGTGCCCCATAACCCACAGCTCCTGTTTTTGCCCATACCAGGTCTGGTTCCAGAACCGCCGGGCCAAGTGGCGGAAGAGGGAGAAGTGCTGGGGCAGGAGCAGCGTGATGGCAGAGTACGGCCTCTATGGTGCCATGGTGCGTCACTCCATCCCACTGCCCGAGTCCATCCTCAAGTCTGCCAAGGATGGCATCATGGAGTCCTGCGCCCCTTGGCTCCTGGGTAAGAGAGCAGCTGCCTTTGTGGAGGCAGTGAGGGGGCCGGCACGACGGCAGGGTCCCCAGAGAAACCTGAGACATGCTTGAAAACACTGACGGTGGGGTGGAAATCTCCTCTGCCTTCCTCCGCATCCCCATGACTTCTCCACAGTAGGGCATAACTGCTCGTCCCAGACAGCTGCCAGTCCTTGCCATCCTGATGTGCAGGAGTGCCTAAGGTGCTGGGACAAGTGAAGGATTATGCACCCCAGCTCTCCCCACCAAGGCCAAGTCTGGGGCAGGAGTTAACTCCCACACTTGGCCTTCAGTGTGTGAGTGTCCCCTGGGAGCAGTCTCAGAGCAGGCTGCTTCTCTTGCTCAAGGCAAAAGGTTGCCCAGGTCTGACTCCCCCGAGGAGCCTGGGTGATGCTGTATGGGTGTGGGTGCAGGGACCCACTGTCTTTGCAGTTGTCCCAGGGTTAGATTCTCTTTTTTTCTTCTGGAACAAAGCACTACTCTCTCCTGCTGCTCTCAGCAGCTGAGGGTACTACATTTTTTGCCTTGTTTTGTGTTATTTTCCAGTGGAGTGGGGATGGTATTGGCGTGGAAGTAGCAGATACTCTGTTGCACTCCTGCTTTTTGCTTCCTGCTTTCTGATCTTTCAGGCTGATTCTGCCTCCAAACTAGTTTCTGGAATCTTAAAAAAATGAGCTGTCCTGTCCTTCTGTCTGGATGAAACTGGGAGAGGGAGAGGGTGGGCTGTGTGAGGAAGAAAACCGTATGGAAATAGCAGTGGGAGATCTCTCCCTCATCCGCCAGTGAGTCCACCAGGTCCCTGCCCTCTGTGTGGCTCCTGCACTGTTGTGCAAGATTCTCATCCTTTTCACCTTGGTCCCATAGATGGGTATGTTCCCATGTGGCAGGACCTAGCGTCTCCCTAGTGTCACCCATCACTGCAGCAAGCTGCTGTCACATGCCTGTGCTGGTGACATGCCTGTCAATGTGTAGTCTCAGACCAGAGTGTGGTCAGCCACTTCCAGCTCTACTCCTGGCAAGAGGAGATACATCTGCTCTGGTTCTGGCTCACCCCCGGTAGTTTGCTGGGGCAGGTTCATCCCTCCAATTTGAGAAGCCATGGCTGTGAGCAGGGTCCCCACTCAGCTGTGCATGCACGGTGCTGCAGACGCTCAGGTTGGGCTGATCCCAGGAGAGAGCCATTCCTGGCCACCCTCGCGCAAGGCCTGGAGTGATGGGCTCTCTGTGACTGCTGTTTGAAGCAAGGGTTTCTGCTTTTCCTTAATTCTGGCCTCTCTTTATCTTTGCTGTTTTCAGTTCAAGATGGCTTTCCCATGCCCAGGCGCTTTTCTAAACCCGAATACCAACAATTCTTTTTAGGGATGCACAAAAAATCTCTGGAGGCAGCGGCTGAGGCAGGAAGGAAGACAGAAGTGGAACGTCAGGCCCTGCCCAAGCTTGACAAGAGTGACAAGGAAGAGAGGGGCCCAGATCCCAAAACCACCATTTCCCAGGAAGAACTGAGAGAAAACAGCATTGCTGCCCTCAGGGCCAAAGCTCAGGAGCACAGCACCAAAGTCCTGGGGACCATCGCTGGGGACCCCCCGGCCCTGGGCAGGAAGCCAGAGAAAGGGGAGGAGGCTGCGGTAGAGGATGAGAGACAGATGGAGAAGTCGAACTCATCACAAAAGGAGGAGAAGCTGATCTAGAGGGGAAGAGATGATGAAAACCAGCCCCAAAAGACACTGTCTCCTCACTGACGGGGGCCATAGCCCCTATCAGACTGCCAGGGCTCTTCGGCCACCCCTGCCTGGGGCACGAGGCTGCTGCAGTCTCTGCGTTTCGGGAAGCTATAGGCCGAGCCCCGGGGCTGCCTGGCAGGGGTGTCCAGAGCCCATTCCCCTCAGCCATACCCTGCACTCGCTCCCCTGCCCTCAGGGGTATCGGCCCCTTCTCCACTCTTGGTGGAGGATCGGGAAGTGCCCCTATCTTCATCTGAGAGGAAACCGAGGCTCCACATCCTGCTGGCATGGCCTCACGACCAGCTTTGAGTCCAACCCATCAAGTCTCAGGCCCATTACCCATCCAGTCTCATGTGAGGAGTCCCTCTGCCATCATGGAGTGAGTCCACCCCTTGCTGCCATCTCCCTCCTCCATACACACCTCTGTCCTCACTGGCACCCACCTCCTAGCCGCTCTCACCCTCGGCCCTGCCCTCACCCCTGGCTTGTAGCTCTGCAGAAGCTGGGCAGCAGTGCACACGTGTGGCTCCCGGGCACCGGCACCCGCACCCGCGCCTTGCTATGCCTTCAGCCCGCAGCAGGGAAAGGCCACCGCAGTGTTCGCATGAAACAGCGAGTCTCTTCCAGTGGTGGCTCGCACCTTCCACGTGTGTCTCTCATGACTCAGAGCAGTGGTCTGCAGGGAAGGGGGTGGTTGATTTTGAGCAGTTGATTTTGGTCTCCATTTCCCAGGAAGCAGCAGGTTTCACCTGCAGACACAACTCCCCTGTTCCCAGCTCCCAGGTGAGGAGACCCAAGTCCCCGCCATCACTCTCTGCGTGAGATCACAGGGCAGCTTCCAAGCCGTCCTGCCTGGCCACATGTGCACAGCACCTGGCACAGTGCAGCAGGTGCACAAGGCCTGCATCTGCCTGCGGCAGCCACATGCCAGCTCCTCCCAGCCCTGCAGACTGCTTGGCTCTGCCTCCCTTGCCTGTGAGGCCAGTGCAGCCCCTGAAACAGTGTTGTGCTCTGGGCACCAGCTCATCACAGCTGGGATCAAGGTTGCCTCAAGCTGCTCCAGAGAACCGCCTGGTTTCTACTTCCCTGAGCTCTGAGCATGGCGATCCAACACAGCCCTGGCTGTGCAATGTGCCGGGGGGCAGGCTGCTCCCATGACGCTGATAACGACAGCTGGATGAGTCCGGGGAGAGCTCTGAGGGTAAGGGGCATCCCAAACATCAGCAGCCCAATGGAACCTCCTAAACCGCTCTGGAGAGTTTGAATACCAGGGAAAACATTTACCTAATAAATCCTTCCAGGCAAGATGACAGCACTTGTCAAATGCATTTATTGAATGAAATTTGCCCAGCTCTGTCTGTGAGTGTCAAAGGGAACAACAGCCATGCAGACAGCCCCTCCCTGATACACACATGTACATACACCTCCTGACTGACCTTACACTACCACACACAGACCTGCACAGCCAAACCCACTCTTTTAGCAGAGCTCCATGATACCAGCACCCTCCCACCCTGATGGGAGACTATTGACCCCAAAGGCCCTAGGACAGTGACTTCCACACAGCTCTTTCCATCCTGCTTTCAACTGTGAGCACCCTTTCCCCAGAGCTACTGTTTTTGTTCTGTCAAGGTTAACACCGTCCATGCAGCCCTGCTTGTCTTTGTCCCCAGTTTGTTTGATGTGTTAGATTATAGCCCACGGTGTGTAAATAATGTATATACAGTGAGAAAAGAATTCAGATTCAGTATTGAGGTGTTTGAGATATGGAACTGTAACAACTTCTAGTCATTCAGAATATGTGATTTATGTGCCATTTTCTGTAAAGATATGATCAAGAATAAAACTAAACTGAAACACTGTATACAAGTCTGGTCATCCTTGTTCAAGAAAGGTGAATTCAGCCAAAGAAAGGGCAGATAAGTGCTGCTCTGTTAAGGAAATTGGGAGATATCAGATGAGAAGAGATTGAAAGCTAATAAAGAAGGCTGAGCAGAAGTGTGACTCTTTTCTGTAAATCCTCAGGGAGGGTACCCTATACCCTGGGATGCATGACACGGCTAACAGTTCTCCTCACACAAGCCTGCAGGATACTTACTGTGAGATTTATCGGTGTTGCTTACAACCATAGGAAATTAAAGAGTTAACAGGAAAAGCAGAGAGCAAGGTACAATATGGCCTGCACCACTGCCTCATCTTAGCAAGGTCAGGGACCACAGCTCTGAAGTACAGAACGGCACTGGACAAAACCAGCTGGTTATAAATACCTTTGGGCCTGGTACTAACAGGAGCATTTAACTGGAACAGCCTCTTCTGAACCAAATGGGGAGGAACAGCCTGCCATCAGAGTTTGATCAGGCCTTGAGCAGGATGCCTGTTGTAAGAGACAGGCTTCATACCTGTGTCCAAGTTACAAGGCCTGAGAATTGCTATTCCTCAGTGGACCAGAAATGTCAAAAGTGATAGAGAAAGCCTGGATAAACCTCATACCCACTGAAGGTGAGGTTTCTATTCCTGGGGGTGAAAAGCAATCATGCAGAAAGCGACATTAGGCTTCAGAAACCCCATTTTCTCATCCCCTTCAAAATTATCCTTATGGTAATGAGTCCTCGATCAAACATTCTGCTTTTCTGTCTCTACCTGGTGGTGTCTTTGCCATCTCTTATGGCACTTACTTAGCCCTTAGCAAATATCACCTATTTGTATGTTTACCAACTCTGCTTCTCCAGAAAACAGTGATGCTGGACTCCCTACAGACTTATGCCTGCAGCTGCCACAACAATTGTGTGCTGTACATCCACAGTGCTTTGATGCATAGAAGAAATTGATCTATTTTAAGTTCAGATCACAGCACCTTCACTTGACCCATGGGGACTCCGCTCTTTTGATGTGCAAGCTTTTACAGTATCCCCTGGTATTAGTATGATGGCTGCCATACATTGCCTCATCTCTCTGGGATCCTTGACTCTGTGTCCACCGCACAGATCTCCACAGACAAGAGTCTCATCTCCGAAGACAGGGCAGAAGGGCTATGTGCAGCTCCCTATACTAGAGGGAAGATGCATTGTGTAAACTCATTTCATTTACTTCATTTCCAGATTTAAAAGATTCTGGTCTCAGCAGTAAGGGGCACAGTTCTGCTCAGGCTCTCATCAAATCCAGTTGTATCAATTGTGGTCAGGACACTCCAGTGGAGCTAGTTCAGACTTATCCAGTCCTTCTCTGTTAGAGATATTTTTCAAACTTTATTAATACTTTCTCTGTTTCTGCTGATAGTATCACTATCTCTTGCAGGCAGTCAGAAGCCAAATGAAGCTTTGGCCATGAAAAAAACCAAACAACATAAAAATTGTTCTAATTTCTGTGGGGCTCCAGTGTTTTCTTGTCTGGATGATGGATAAGCCTGCTCCTTTCCTTCTCTTCCCTCCTCCTCTGAAAGGGTGCACAGCTCAAGCTTGGCAGAGAATAAAAAAAGAAAATTCATAGGAGATGAATAGAAAATTATTCATTTGAACTGTTCATTCTAGGGAAAAGGAAGAAACTAAAAAGTATCGAGCAAAGAGATCTACTACAACAGAGCCCCAAAAGTCCTAACCATTGCAATTAGTTGTGCTGAGTGAGCGGCACTAATTGCATGAGGATTGAGCACACATGTGTACACCCTAGTTGAGAGCAGAGCAGCCCATGAGCCCAGCAAACACAAGAAGACAGCTAAGAATTTAAGATATCTCCTGACTGGGTGGATGTTAGCAATACTCCTAATGAGATAGCTCCAAAGGGAGTAAACAGGGATAGCTAAAAAGGGAGTTGGAGTAGGGTAGTGGAGAGAAGCAGAAGGGCTGATTTCAGCTACATCCTCCGGGGATCTTCAGGGAGAAGATGGGCTTGGTGCTGCTTTTTCTCCAGAGCTGATGATAAAGCTGAAGAGAGTCTACTTGTGCCTGGTGTAGAAGCTGTGTGTCACTATGTGCAATTGCTCAGAGTTAAAAATGATTTCAGTGTCCAGAACAACTCTGGCGCTTTGGGTCACCTCATATCATGCACAGTCTAGCGTTAGAGAGCTGGGCACTCCTTTGGGCAAACTCACCAGCACTGCCAGGTAACAGCAAAGTAATGCCTCAGCTGGTCTGAAGGGGACATGTTGAAGCCAGGTGCTGCAAGCACAGGGAAAGTTGCTTAGAGAGATTTTTTTTTTTTAAGGTGGAGGAGAGGACTCCCTCTAATGTGAACTCTGTTTTGAAAGTCCTGAGAGCTTATATTGAATTATGAGAGAAGAAAAAGAGAGTCACTTGTCCTGCAAGGGTATCTGGGGGTGCTCTTATGGAAGAAAACCAGCAAACAATAAAAACCCAAACCTGTGATATCCATAGGGGAAAAGACTGAAGAAGAGCAGATGACCCTAGGAAATGAGAGAAAATGCTTGTGGAATGACAAGCTGCTTGAGCTTGGCTTTGTGGGCTGCTATAAACCCCTAGGACTGTGTTTCATCGAGCAGCAGATCCTTAGGGTGCATGGTCTGTGATGAGGATACCTGCTTTTAAATATCTGCTTCTGCCATGTTGGTGTCTGCCTTGTTCAGCAGACTTGTTGGACCTCAGAGCACAAGTGGAGTCACACTATCAGGAGCAACATGGAGGTGTATTAATTCAGTCTGTTGTCAGTTCGATTGGTGTGCCTGGCTGAGGCCAACCCTGCTTGGAGGGGGAGGCTTTCTCTGCCCTTTCCTTGTGGACCTGTGAAGGGAGGGAAAGCTGGTTAACAGAACTAAGAATCTCCTTGTTCAAGCACTGTAGGGTCTAAAGTAAAGAAAGCCAGAAGAAAACTGTTCAAGGTGTGGGAGACTTTGGTGCAGAGAGACTGCAGCCCTTCATGGCCAGGCAGTGCTCCCTATCATCTGGCGTGGAGGTGACCTTTGTTCTACAGGTATGTACGACTCAGCCAGGTACACAAGGCAGAAACAACATCCCTCAGTGTTACAGGGAAGCAGCCAACTCTGCTATCACAATCTCAAGGGATAAGAGTGGGCAGGCTGCCGGGCAGTGGTGGTAGGAGCCATTGGGGACGCTGCCGCCTTGCGCTGCACCAGCTGTGGTGGTGAAGTACGCGTGGGGGTGGATGGCTGCTGGCTACAGGCACGGCCAGGCACAGGGCGAAACGGTGCTGGGGCCAGCGGGGCCGCAGGGAGCGGGAATGGGGCCTCTGCCACTGCGGGCGCAGGCGGCTGTTGGGGCCAGGGCTGGGTGTCTCAGCTACCACGGGGAAGCTGGGCAGCGGCTGAGTCTGGCTCCTGTTCAAGAGAGGCCATAGGGACCCAGATTAGCATGAAGGTTATTTTCAGTCACACACTTCCAACAACACACCCCTTTCCCCTCCCTTAAAAGGGATTGTGTTTCCTTTCCCTGTGCTGGTGCACAAGGCAGGAGCAGAGGGAGGCAGGCGGGGAAGAAGGGTCCTGGGGCTCCCAGCACGGTGGCGTCTGCATCTCCCCGACTGGAGGTAATCACACAGCCAGCCGTGATTACGCTGTACCCTGGACAGAACAGAGGGCTCCAGGTATCCATTTCCTCCCTGAATAGTGCAACCCCTCCTGCTGCGACGCTGGACCATGGCCTGGCTGCTAGCCAGGGCTCGCTGCCCTGCGGCTTTTTCTCAGACTTCCTGGTGCCCCCGAGGGTCAGTGTCAGCCCGAGGCTGGAGCCGCGGGCCCCTCACTGCATATATGCCCGAGGCTGTTGCGTTCCCGGGGCCCAAGGACCACCAGGGCTTGTACAAGGTGTCAGTGGAGCAGGCAGATGCCTTCTGGGGAGCGCTGGGGAGGAGCCGGCTCACCTGGATCACCCCTTTCCACTGCGTCCAGGACTGCAGCCTGGGCGAGGGCCGCATCGCCTGGTTCCTGGGAGGACGGCTCAACGTGGCTGGTAAGCAAAGGGAACCCGCCGAGGCCTCCCCTGGAGGGGACTGCGGCTCCTCACCGCCCCTGGGAGCGGGGAGGGCAAAGAGCAGCTCCTGCTCCCAGGCTGCCCCCAGGAGGGGGTGTTCGCCTGTGGGAAGCGGCTGAGCACCATGATCCAGAGGGAAGCAAAGTGGAGGGAGGGCTTTCCTGGGATGCTCTGTGTGCCCCTGACCCTACAGGAACCCCACAAGTGCCCACGGGGGTATCCCTGTGATGTGTTTTGATGCCAGGGGCACAGAGGTGAAAGGCAAGAACAAGAGGATCCTTGTAAGGTCCCACTGGCCCAGCTGTAATTGCAGGAACCTGAAGGAGAGACTGGGTTGCACAGAAGTGGTGGCAGGAGAACTGATGTGAGCAAAACCCCGCTGAGCCCCCGTAGGTGCCATGCTCAGCTGTGCAGGACCACACACACTGACCCCATGGCATTCAGTAGGCTGCCTTGCTGGCCCAGCTAAGGAAACACAAATTTGCAGAAAGGAAAATAGAGGAACAAGGAGTAGTGCTATAGACGCTCACAGTTGTGTTCTCTTCTAGGCTTGATTTGGGAATGCCTGCTATGAGGGTTCTGCCATAGGCAAAAAATAGGGGCTGATGGCACCGGGCACAGTAGAGGAACCTGCTTGCCCCACTGTTGATCCCAGAGCTCAAGTCAAAGATAAATCTCCCCCAAATCAGGTCTTAAGTAAAGTAATCCATTAGGGCAGAAGGGCAGGAGTTATTTGCCTTTGGGTTTGGAGATCCTACTGTTAACACTGACAGGTTTGTTTGTTTTTCTCCTGGAAAACTACAAATGTTCAGAAGAATTTTTTTATATGCAAACGATGGCTCTTGCATCATTTCATAGCCTCAGGAGCAGACCAAAGAAAAACACTGAATGTGTACAAGGCTCCTGATGAAACTGCAGTTGTCAACAATGTGAGAAAGCTTTCTTGGCACAAGAATTACAGCCAAAGTCTCAACCTCCCATGGTCCTAGAAACCCAGGGGACTCTGCAGCCATCATCCTAGCTCTGTTACACCTTGGGCACTGCAGCCTTCCTGAACAGATCTTCATTTGATCCTAAATTTGTTACTTTAGAGCTGCTATTTTAGTAACTGCATGTTCCTGGGGGGAAAAAACAAAAACCAAAAAACTGCCACAATTCACAGTGGAGGAAATACCAAGTTAGTGCTGGGAGAGTGATGGTTGGGTTATTTTTTGCTGGGTCCTCTGAGGCCCACAGATACATGGGGATGTGGCCTCTGAAAGGATTTTAGGCAGCGTGTATACTGGATTGTGTTAAGTTGCAAATAAGGGGGAGACTAGTAGCAAGGATTTGTATATATGAGGATGTATCAGGCTTGGGATGGTGCTTGTGACTTGTGGGCTGATCTCAGTAAAGATGGGTTCCAGTGTAAGTAAAAGGCTAATGCCACTCTGTGGTGAAATCTCGCTCAGCCCTCAGTGTGGTCTGAGAGAGGGATTGCCAGTACTGGCATTCTGGGAGTTAGGAGGTACTGAGAGTTGTCCCAGCAATGATAGTGGATCTTCTCTTCCAGTGAATTGTCTGGACCGACATGTCCACGTAGCCCCAGATAAAGTGGCCTTAATCTGGGAGAAGGACGAACCAGGGGAGGAGGTACGGGTCACTTACAGGTTGGTACTTAGCTCTGAGTGTGCACAAGAGACATACTGCAGCATGCACCAGGACTGAACTGATTTGCTGATGCGAGCTGTGTGAGGGATACAGCATCCCTTAGCAGGCATAGATCAACAGCAGGTTGGCTGTTGGCTTGCCTGAGAATTCAGTCTGCCCCGAGTGGTCTCTACCTTGTTGGGGAGACAGACACAGGAGACGCTTCTCCTGAGAGCTCTGCAATGCTTGTAGGTAAGACCCTGTGGAAACGTCACATGTTTGTGTTCCCAGCAATGTTCCAGATGCCTAAACTCACAGATAAATGCTCTGCAGAAGAGGCCAGATTCACAGCTGCATGGAAAGCTCTACTCTGCTGGAATCTCTGGTGACCATGGGTATTGGGAAATTAAGTGCTCATGTATACGTGGGCATTGCTGCTGGGCTTGCACCTCTGCAGGGCCTGCCGGGCTCACCCTGCAGATTGGAACTTCTCACTCTGTTTACCCACTGTCTGAGTCTCCATGCAGATTCCTCTTGAATCCCTCTGCACACAAAATAAGTCCTTTGTTTTCCCTGGCTCCAGGCATCATATGACAAATGGCCGTTCTCCCCCTACCAATCTCCACAGCTAGTTTTGGAGAAACCTTCCATGAAATGAGTCACTGACAGTCAAGCTTTTGTTTCTGGGAGTGAGGCTCCTTCACTGAGAAAGCTGTTTTGTTCACCCGTTTGCTACAGCTGTTCTCTCTTGTAGGACACATGATCCAGAGGACTTGGCCTTCCCAGCTTTAACAAAGCACAGTTTTACTTTGCTTTGTTGCAGAGAGAAGATACTTAACTGTTCATGCATATCTTCCAGTGTTGCAGGGTAGTGTTGCTCCAGTTGTGTGTGCTGATGAGAAAAGTGCAGGCCCTAATGGGAAAAGCCAACAAGACAACTGAGGTGTTGTGAATTTGCTGAGTTGCGGGAGTCACCCATGGCTGTTGCTGGCCCTATGGCCTGCCTGTAGCACTGGCAAGGGATGTGTGGATCAGAGAAGGGCTTCTCTAAAGAGAGAGAGGCCATTCTGATTTATTTAATTTCCATGCGTAGTGGCCCATGCTAGTGACTGTCTCCTCCCTTCCTTTCCACTGACATGTTCACAACTTCCCATATAGGGGAAGATTGAGGTTTTTAGAGATGTAAGCTGTAACTCTGAAAGGCCCTCAAGAGGAAGGGGTCCTCACTGTGATGCACATGGGTAAGATCTTCAAGAAAGTTTCTAACTACACCCTTGCTTCTTTGGGCAGGGAGCTGCTTGAGCTGACATGCCGCCTGGGAAACACCTTGAAGCGGCAGGGGGTGAAACGGGGTGACAGGGTCATCATCTACATGCCCCCGTGCCCACTGGCCGTGGCCAGCATGCTGGCGTGTGCCCGGATAGGCGCTGTGCACGCTGTGGTGTTCGCTGGGTTCAGTGCAGAGTCCCTCGCAGACAGGATCCAGGATGGTAAGAGCCAAGAGGTAAAAGGGCACATCCCATGTATCCCTTTGCTGAGCACTACTGAGCTCTGCTTCAGCAGCTGGGGAGCTCAGGGCATGCGGACTGTGTGTGTAGCCTCCTACGACCAGGGCTGCCAGTGGCAAACTTCTCAAGCTGTGATGCCTACGCAGAGCCCAACCAAGGTGTAGGCTTGATACAGATTGTGCTTATAGGTAAAACTCCCTTGGCTAAGAGAGGGTATGGCCATGGAGCAGGGATTGGTACTACAGGAAGTGACATGGGTTCTTAAATCTTTTACTCCATATCTTTTAGCTGCAATGAATTAGCATAAGCACCTCTGAGCAAATGACCAGCCAGGCCTCCCTGGGATAAGGGAGGGATGGACTGGACCTTTCCTTCATCAAAGGAAGCGAGCGGATGGGATACAGGTTCTCTTCTGAGGGGCACAACATAGTCAGGAATGAATGGGAAACAAAGATAAGAAGCCTCTGTTTTTGTTAAACAGAGGATACAAGTAACAGGGGCTGGGAGATGGAGTGAAAGGAGCAGGGTGGAAAATGTTGAGTACATAGCAGAGCCAGACTGGCATGTGGCAGGTGGTGACAGAGCTGTTTACGTGGCTCTTCTTTTGTCCTCTCCAGCACAGTCAGAGACAGTGATTACGGTGAACCAAGGGCTGAGAGGTGGCAAGGTCATTGAGCTAAAGAAGGTGGTGGACCAAGCTGTGAAGCAGTGCCCAGGAGTGAAACGTGTTCTGGTTTCAATGAGGACTGACAACAAGGTTCCCCTGACAGCCTTGGATGTGCCGCTGGAGGAGGTGAGAGCCTGCCCAAAGACACTCCACTTTTCTTGGGCAGTGCACGCTGGGAGCAGGGACAGGATGGGATGGATGGCCTCTGGCTGGTCCCAGCAGCTCTGCTGGCATTAACACAAGGGAGGTGGGAGGGGAATGTCCTGCTGCATCAGTGAGAACTAGAGCTGCATGTGAGGTCAGGGCAGTTCCAGGAGCACTCAGGAGAGGTGACTTGCCAATCTTAAACAGATGTCCCTCTGCTATCATGGACAGGCAGCACAAATGAGCGCCTGTGACAGTGTGGACCAGGGACTGAAAACACCCCAGTCCCATGCTGATGCACTTGCTGTGAGCCCAGCCCTGTCTCGTACAGGAAGAAAAGGTACAAAAGCAGCGGAGGACTATACAAAGTGGGTAGGGTGGTACAGGTGGTCTGAGAAAGACTTGGAGGAGAGGTGAGCAAGGCCTGTGGGACAAGATGTCCCGATCAATTGATGAAAGGAAGCCAGGGAAGAAATCCTATGATGGGCAAGCTGCACAGTCGCAGCAATACCTGACATCTACTGAGTGGGGAGAAAAGGGAGATCCAGTGGTTATAGTGAGAATTAATTGAGCTGTGAGCTCAACTTTCCCTCTGGGGACAGACCTTAGAGATGCAGTGAAGAAGCTGCAGCACCCAGGAACAGGCAAGAGACGAGGCAGCTGAGCTGGGGCCTGGCTGGTTGGTGAAGTGTGTTGTGCACATGTGTTTGAGGCGGGTTCTGCTGCCACTTCCATCGAGGCCGGGACAAGGAGGTGTTTGAGGGATGTAGGCAGTGCTGTGCAGAAGTCTGTCATTGGGTCGCTCAGTGCTGTCACCCTGCCAGACCTGACTTTGTGGGCTCAGCCAATGTTGACTAACAGAGGAGTAAGCCAAAGTGTGCCTATATGAAGTGCACTGTACTTGACTCCAGCAAGTGATTAATGAAACTAGCAGGTGTATGGCTAGCACGGGGAAACCTGAGAGAATCTGACTGAGGACTGCTGTGCTCTCTATCACAGGAAATGGTGAAGGAGGATGTGTGTTGTGAGCCTGCTGTTATGGACAGCGAAGACATGTTGTTCCTCCTCTATACATCAGGCAGTACTGGCAAACCCAAGGGCCTGGTCCATTCCCAAGCTGGTTACTTGCTCTATGCTGCCCTTACACACAAGGTAAGGAATCCCAAACATACAGCATTCATGAGCTAGCAGTTCACAGTCAGTACAGCAAATAGAGCTGCCATCTTGTTGTGTGAAGAGCACATCTTCATCCAGACCTTGTGGAGCACATCTCCATCCAGATAGTGAGGGAGAGCAATGTGTGCTTTGGAACAGGCATTTCTAAGCATATACTCCCCTAAGCTGCATTCTTCACTTTTGTTCTTTCTTTCTTGCCCAATCCTATGCTGAGTCATTGACTGCGTTGTTCAGCCTTATCAGAAAAAGTTTGTTCTGCTAGGTGATGAGGAAGGAACCAATTTGCTTCTGAAACTCCAGGTTTTCTCCTGTAAGCCTAACAGTCCCATCTCGGGTGGGAGATCAGTGGTAGTGTTCCTAGAAGAGGCAAATCTGTGGATATCTGTAAAAACTGAAGAGTGTCCTAAAGACAAAGACTGTGCATCTGGACTATGTGGATCAATTTTAAGACAAGAGAAGTTTCTAACTTCCCTCCTATGCCACTATGGCAATACCCCAAAGTAAACACTGCAGCACTGAGATGGATAAAAGGACACTGAGCACAATAGGAAGCAACACGGCTTCAGAAGCCCTTCCAACTGGTTGAGGAATTGTCTTTTCTAAGACATTAAATGGAGGTCTGTTTGGAGAACTCCGTCTTCCAAGGGATCTTTTCTTTGGGTCTGTCTCTCTACATGGCTGAAATTTCAGTTGTGTTCAGACCTTGCACCCTATGGGACATAGTGCTGGCTGGGTCCTTTCTGTCATTAATGAATGCTGGAGGCCAGAACTTCTGGGGTATATGCAGGAGGAGGCAGAACATGTGCAGAAGCCATTGGTTTTGCTGTGAGCTAAACGCTGTACAGTGATACCCAGCATGATACTTAACCCTCTTGAGGCCCCTAATGTCATGCAGTTGTCTTGTTGGCATCAGCACAGCACAAAATGCCTGATTTGGGAGCCTCAGCACATCAGAGTTGGTTTGTGAGAGCCCAGGGACTTCTGTCTAGTTTGGAAATACAGGGAGCAAATAGTATACGGCTGTGTTAGCACCCAGGTGCTCTGGAAATCATGACACAAGGTTGACATTAATTACTGCTCAGCTCTCTCCATTGGACATTGCAGGCTGGCGTTGCCATAGTTCACTGCTGAGTTAGAGAGACAGACCAGGCAGGGAAAGTTTCCATTACAAACACCCTGGAGCACTTGAGCCCTGGCCAGCTCTCCCTTGCAAAGAACTGCCAGCCTGTACCCAGGGAACAGTAATAAGAGACGTGTAAGTCTGAAATAGCAGATTCCAGAGCAAAAGAGAAACAATGGGCTAGTAGGAGCTGAGCCCCTGGGAATTTTCTGGCATTGAGCAAAGGAAACGAAGGCAAGTACTTGAGAAAAGCAGACATGCTGCTGCCAGTTTGACAGCTGTAAATCCTGCCCTGTATGGGACAGACTTAATTTCACAGTACTGTAGCCTTACAGCCAGGTGTCTTCTGAGAAAGACACGGGACAGTGCAAACAAGAGCATGTTCTGCTCTCTGCAGGGCTCATGCAGCTCAGGCAGAGGTGTTAGCCCCATTGGGCATCTGAGGGGCTTTGGGCTGAGAGGTGTGTGGGAGGTGTGTTCTCTCATAGCAGGTGAGGTGTAAAGAGCCTGCTTAGTCATACTGTCCAGGGACAATTTGAGAGGTGGACAAGAGGTCGGAGCTGCTCATTCACAGGCACAGGGAACCCTGGGGATCTGTCTTGGGGGTCCTTCAGCAGCAACTATGATACACTGATCTCAGTTGTCCCCCTTGGGAGGGAGGAAGGGACAAAATCCAGGCTACACCACTCACTATCTGTCCTCCCTTATTCAGTATGTGTTCAGCTACCAGGATGGGGACATCTTTGGTTGCGTGGCAGACATCGGCTGGATCACTGGGCACAGCTATGTGGTCTATGGCCCCCTCTGCAATGGCGGCACTACGGTCCTGTTTGAGAGCACTCCTGTCCATCCCAACCCTGGTGAGTGAGAAGGCAACTTGTGAGAGCAAGGAAATGCAGCAGTACCGTGCAAAAACTGTGCCCTGTGGAGAGGGAGCAAGAGGAAGTAGCTCCTGTTAGGAAATCACTGTTGTTTCTCACGGATGATGCATTTCTCTTTGTCCTCCCTCCAGCAGGAAAAGCAGTGAAACTAGGTTATATTGAAGGAAAGAGGCTACTGCTCCTCTTAGACTGCTTCAATTCTATTCTGGGGAGGTTAGCTTGGCTCCAGGTTCATGTGCTACTAGAGAGCCCTTGATGTCACCTCCTGCCACTACCTTGGGCTCAGGTTGGAAAAATCTGGGCAGGCACTTACTTGCCCTGTTTCCATCCTAGGACGCTACTGGGAAACAGTAGAGAGGTTAAAAATTAATCAGTTCTATGGGGCACCCACTGCCATCCGCCTGCTCCTGAGATACGGTGATGAATGGGTGAAGAAATATGACCGCTCTGCTCTCAAGGTTCTTGGCTCAGGTCAGTGCTAGTGGATCAGCAAATCCTTGGGCTGGCCCTGGGCATCAGGTGGTGCTGTTCTCAGAGTTAAACACCCAGGAGAGGACCTCTCCCCATGCCCTCTCCCTCTGCCAAGTGCAGCAGAAAAGATGGAGAGACCATCACAGTGGTAGTAGTTTCTTGCAAGGGTGACTGCCTTTCAGCTCTGCCCCTCTGCCTTTCCCCTTGCAGTCGGGGAACCCATCAACAAGGAGGCGTGGGAGTGGTACTACCGTGTGGTTGGCGAGGAACGGTGCCCGGTAGTGGACACGTGGTGGCAAACTGGTAAGATGCATAAAATCTGTTGTTACAGGCACAGCCAGCTTCTCTCCTTGCAAGCTGTAGGAGTAGGCTGCTGCTTTGTGGGACAAGAGGAAACAGCTATTAACGACATACCTGCATGAGTAATCCCATTAGACAAAAGGCCATGGGCATCAAAATGTGATAGACAAATGGTCTTTAAAACTAACCCATTGAAACATGGGGAAGTAGATCTCTGCTGAAGTAAATGAGCAGGACTCCTACAAAGAGCCTTTCTCATCTCTCTGGCAAGCCCAGGCCCAGGATGCAGTCCAGCAGGGGGCTGTGAGGTTCAAGGTGAAGGCTGATGTCTCTGTTAATATGTTTTTTTTTCTCTCTCTCCCTGGCTTAATCAAGCATTGCATTCCTGTTCATTTCAGAAACGGGAGGCATCTGTATCTCACCCCGTCCTTCTAATCCTGGAGATGAGATCCTTCCAGGCATGGCCATGAGACCCTTTTTTGGGATCAATCCCTGTCTCCTGGATGATAAGGTATCTTAATAAGCTGCAGCTCAGGTGCTGGCCCACATTCCCACAATCCTGTAGCCTGTATTCACCCGTGGGAGTGGAGATCTCCAGTTGCATCTTTCCTTCTCACAGCTGTTAGGCATCACCATCCTTACTGGATGGGATTAACAACGCTGCTGGTAGCAACATTTCCAGCTGGTGTTCGGTCCTGAAACAACACACTGCTCAGGCTCCCTGAGAGCCTCTGGTTAGATCAAGTTACCAGCACTGAAAGAAAGAAAGAGGAGTCAAGGGCCAGCGGAGGTAGCTGAGCTCCGACTGGAGGAGCTGTGCATCCCAGGATATTGGGCACCTAGTTGCAGGACTCTCCTCAACGTCTACCCTGGCATTTCCAGCTAGGGAATGTTGCTGGGCATAATGGTAGAAGTGAAGTAATGACTGAACATCCCAATTACCTCAGTCATGGGTATTAAAAAGGCTCTTTTACAGGGAAATGTCCTTCTGGAAAACAATATCTCTGGAGCCCTCTGCATCTCACAGGCCTGGCCAGGTATGGCACGAACCATTTACAATGATCGTAAGAGATTTCTGGAAACCTACCTGACTCCTTATCCAGGTAAGGAAAATGAGAGGCAGGTCACTGAAGGGGTGCTGGGTTGGGTGCAGTCCGAGTGCTGGTTTCCAGCCCAGGGGCAAAACTCAGGGGAGCTGCCTGTGTTGCTTTACACTTTCAGAGACTTTCAACAGCGCAGACACTGTCCATCTTGCCTTGCTTCTTCAGATCCAGTACTACCATGGGAAGGGGCCTTTCTAACCCATCTTCCTCACTGGGATATATACATTTTTAGGATAGTAGTTTTTTCCTTCTGTCCCTGGAAACCCCTGAACAAGGCAGAAGTCTCTTAGTACTTCTGTCTTGTAAAACCTGTAAGCTCCTGCCACCCATCCTGGGGCACTGAGCAAACCCAGGAGGATGGGTGTCCCAACATGAAGACAAGGGCAGACGTAGCAGGGCTGTACTAAGGCAAAATGCTCAAGGCTCACAGTGATGAGGAAATCTGGCATGGGAATTCCAATTTGGAATTCTCAACAGAATTGAGGGAAAGGCCCTAATGATGGAGCAGGTACCTGCTGAGGCAAAAGACTCTTGAGTGCTTGAGAAGGAGCAGAGTGCACAAGGCCTTGTGTTGACTGAGGGGAGAAGAGGGTCTGCTACACCTCAGAAAACAGCAAGGGAAGGGAGCGGGCAGTTGCTTATGCTCAGTGCAATGAGTGGTTGATGGCTCTGGTCGCTGCAGGGTTTTTCTTCACTGGAGATGGTGCTTATCGCACCAGTGAGGGCTATTACCAGCTGACAGGACGGCTGGACGACATCATCAACATCAGCGGGCACCGCCTGGGCACTGCAGAGGTGGAGGACGTGGTGGTAAGAGATGTAGATGGGGGGTAGAGCCACATGAGGGAGCAGTGACACAGCACTAGTGATACTCAAGAGAAGCTCCTTAAAATAACAGGCCAAAAATTCTGTTGCTTTAGTGGCAGGGAGCAGGGCCTGGGGGAGCAGTTTTCTGGTTCTGCTCCTTCACCTGGACTCGTCCTTCATTGTACCATGGACCTGACACTTCTGTCACCTCCTTTAGCAAGGGTTGGGCTTTCCCTTTTGCTCAGGGGGGTCCCCTGGTATATCCACCACGGCTGTGCTATGACCAGCACTAAACTCCCCTTCCTTTGCCAGGTCCTGTAGGTTTAGTGCTGAGGTCAAGACATTTAGCTCAGCTGCTGCCCGGCCTCTGCAGCAAGGGAGAGACAGAGCTGAATAAGGTTCGTGCTGTAAGTAGGTGAATCCCACAGTGGGAACCAAGCAGGCATGTCGGTGGCATGCCCTTCCCCATCCCTCCAGGACACATCCATGAGCCAGTGAGGGTTACAAGACTTGCGGGAGCAGTTGGAGGCACGCAATGGGGGTAAAAGCATAAGTTTAACGATGTCAAAGCTGGGGCCTGGAGCAGGAAGGAAAAAGTGCAGAGGCCACTGAGGCCCTTCCCTGTCTCTCCCCATTACGGCACAGTTCCTGGACAGCAGCTAGCCTGCAGCGAGCACCAAACTGAGCTGCAGCCCTGTTCTGTTCCAGAATCACCATATGGCAGTGGCAGAGTCTGCTGTGATCGGCTACCCACATGAGATCAAGGGAGAAGGTGAGGCTCTTGCTTTCTTGCTGCTCAAGTTCCTTTCCCCTGGCTTGGGCCCTGCAGTGGCAAGAGACCCCATCATACTCACCCCCATGGTAAAGCAGGGTACCCAGGGCCACAGCAGTCACCACCATGGACACTGCATAGCGTAGTCAGTTATGTGATGGTCCTTCTGCCAGGAGCCTACGTCTTTGTTGTGCTCAAGAAGGAGAGTGGCTACACACAGGAGACTCTTACTGCTGAGCTGCGAGAGCTGATCTCCAAGAAGATTGCTAAGTATGCAGCTCCCGAGTATGTCCAGGTAACACCTACAGGCTTGGCCAATACCGCTCTTTCAGCCTGGCCCACCTCTGTCCCTCAGCCTGAGCTATGCTGTTTCTTGTTGCAGGTCACACACAGGCTGCCTAAAACCCGCTCTGGGAAGATAATGCGTCGAGTGCTGAAGAAGATTGTGGAGGACAAGGCCAGTGAACTTGGGGACCTAACAACCCTAGATGACCATGAAGCTGTGCAGCAGATCATAGAAGGACACAAGCACCTAATGGAGGTGCAAAGGAAGTGCTAGCATGGCTCTCCCCTCAACCACCTTCTCTCCCTTCACTGTAAAAATCAAGGCCAGGTCCAGAAGCATCACTGGGATACTAGGGCTCACTAAGTGACAACGAAACTGAGTCTCCCCTGCAGCATCTCCAAGTAAACTCTCCGTATCACAGAGACCTTACAAACCCTTCCCTCTGCACAGATGTGTGAGGGAGACACACACACAGACAGAGATGTTTCCTCCCCTAAAAAGCAGAGGGCTAAAAGCCCTCCTTGAGGGTCCTGTGACTGGCAGTAAGGGAGTGAGCACCAGGGCAGGTATTAGTTGTACCCTGGGTGCTGTCTAGCCCAAGACCACTGCCACCATGTAAGCAGCAGGACAAGATGCAAACAGTCTCACTGACAAACATTGACTCTTCTCCATAAGTCTTTGGCTAACAGGCACCAGCTTTTAATACAAAAATGTTTCTTTGACCTGTAACCTTGTGTCATAAAGAAAGCAGATACAGGCCCTTCTCTCTGCTATCATGCCCCCCACACACACTTTAAAACATGACAATTGCTGCTACCACAGGTTCTGAACTCTGTTCTGCAGAGCTGCATATCAGAGAGGCCGATGTCACTCAGGGGAGAAGAGCAGGCTGCATCCCAGTTGTGCATCCCTGCCTCCTGGTCAAATACAGGCAGCTTTGCCCTCTGCTTCTACCACCTCCAAGAGGTAGTATATTCTCCTTCTGCAGTCTTGTGCTCTGCCCTTTCTTCCCTGCAAAGTAGAGGAGAGGGCAGGCATGGAGAAGGGTTGGGTAGACTTGTCTGTTCCTGGCAGAACCTTGCAGTGAGCTCAGACTTGGCCCTCAGCAAAATCCAGAAATGGTTTTGAACCAAACGGCGTCCTTGGTCATAGCTGTTGGCTCTGCAACTCCAGCTCTGCTCCTTAGGCCTCTCCCAAGGGTGGGTAGATTCTGCAGCTGGTCAGACTGGAACATATTTTTCAGCATCCTTCAGCTGGTAGTCGCTTTGTTTTCTCACATCGTGTGAGCTCCCATCTTCCCTCCCCATGAAGTTTCAAAATCCAGCTGTGGAACTGCAATCAGAAACATGAGAACTGGGAGGTGTCTCTATAAGGGCATGTCCACCCATACTGAGGTTCTCAAGCCTCGCTCCCTCCTCCCTGCCCACAGGGACCCTTGCTGTCTGCCCTGTCTCACTACAGGGAGGCCTATGCTGCCTCTCCAGCTCACCTTTTCCAGGCTAGCTCTGTGTCCCACGCTGACCAGGGTCATGCCCAGCTGAATGCACACACGGTACAGTTCGTGCTCCACCTCTTCTGTCAAGGCACTGGTGGCTTCATCTAGCACTGACAGAAAAGCTGTAAGCCCCACAAAGCCCATTCCCTCCATCCTGTAATCTCTTCTCCACCTCAGGCAGAAGAGCAGCAGTTGCTGAGAACACTGCACATAAGCCCAGCTGTAGAAGGTAAGGAGAAGCCTAAGGCCCTCCATTTATCTCTAACCCAGTTGCTGTTAGCTAAGGGGGAAATCTGGCCTTCTCCACAAGCCCTCAAATCTACCCACACCGTGTACTTCACCTCATGCATCTCCCTCAGTGACTGCCAGCCACTGCCTTACTCCCT